ACTTTCTGAAAGTATTTATCAGAATTTTTTTTTGTTAGAACGGTGTAAGTAAAACACATCCAAGGTGGAATACAACTAACTGCTGTTCATTTTTTCAACACTGTGTATCAGTTCCCAAAAAGTTGGCATGTGTAAAATGTCAATAAAAACAAAATTACTGTATTTGCAAATCTCATAAACCCATATTTTATTCAAAGTGAAACGTAGTAACATATCAAATGTTTCAACTAAGAAAGTACAATTTTTCAGAAACAATTCAAAATTTTTAAATTTATGGCAGTAACGCATCTCAAAAAAGTTTGTGCAGGAAGCAGTCGTCTTGTCTCGTCACCAGTCTGTAAACACCTGAACCAAGCAGACCAGCTGCTGGAGTTTTTGAAGTGGGAGGTTGTCCTGTTCTTCTCTCATGTTGGTTCCTAGCTAACAGTCCTGGGTGGGGTTGCTGGATTTTTCATTTTATGCTGTGACTAATGTTTGTATTAGTGAGAACTCTGGACTGCAGGCAAGCCAGTTCTGCACCTTCCACTAGTTCAGTTTCTTCTACCACAAAGCCATGTTCTTGTAATGGAGGCAGTATGTGGTTTAATATTGTTTTGCGGGCTTCACTTAAAAAAATAAATAATAAAAATCTGGATGAAAGCATATTGTTTAAAACATGTATATTGTACTTTTCTGCATTGATGATGCCTTTCCAGATGAGTAATCTGCCCAATCATAGCCACTAATGCACCTCCATATCATCAGGGAGGCAGGCTTTTGAACTGTGTGCTGATAAGAGTCTGGATGGTCCCTTTACTCTTTAATTTGTGGTAAATAGTATCTGTGGTTTCCAAAATATTTCAAATTTTGATTTGTCTTACCATGGAAGAGTTCACTCTGCTTCCGTCCATTTTAAATTAAAGTTTATTCTGTAGAAAGAGTTTTTAGATGGCGTTCACGAATTGTTCCTTCTTTGCACGATAGAGCTTTAACCCGCATTTGTAGATAGCACAGCAAACTGTGTTTACAGATGATTTGCGGAAGTGTTCCTGAGCTCATGAAGTGATGTCCATAACAGAATCAGACCTGTCTTTAATGCAACATCACCTGAGGGCCCAAAGATCATAGCCATCCAATAAAGACATGCTGCCTGGTTCTTGGAGCTCAGAGCTTACTCCAGATTCTTGAAATCTCTTCATGAAATTATAAACTGTAAAGGAAGTCTTCCCCATTATCCACTGAGAAACATTATTCTGAAACTGGTCCACTTTTTAAGATAGTTTTCTGTAGAATGGTGCCCATTTTCCCATATGAGAGATTCATGCTCTCTAAAATGATGATTTTATGCTCATTCCTCTTACTGGCATGTTGCCAATGAATCTAATTAATTACAAAATGTTCCTCCAGTTGTTTCACATTTGCATGACTTTATTCTAGTAAACTGTTGCTTCTTTTTTATATCCACGTTTTGATATGTCACTGCCATAAAATAAAAATTATCTTAGTTTTTCCTAAAAGTTGTTCAGTTTTTTACATTGATATTTAATATGGTAACTATGTTCCATTGTGAATAAAATGTGGGTTTATTACAATTGCAAATAATTTAATTCTGTTTTTTTTGTTTGTTTGTTTTTACATTATACACAGTTTCCCAACATTTTCAAAATTGGATTTGTATTTTATGCATGTCTGTAGGATACTTTTAAAATAAGTCGACAAAGTGTAGCTCAGCATTCATAGGATTTAGTGACAACAGAAGTGTCATGACTTCAATTTGAAAGTATTCAAACCTGTAATTTCTAGTCCTTGTTTAATTCATAGCATTCAAAATGTTTTAAACAATTTCTCTAAATTGGCCAATGATCAACTACATACCATCAAACCACTTGTGCTTATACATCCATTAATTATACTAAAACAATACATTTTTCATATCTATGATGTCTCCTCGCTGTCATTGCCACCCTGCCAGGAATGAAAACATGTTTGCAATCAGGCTGTGGAGTTAGATGAATCTACAGTCAGATTACAGTTGTTAGCATCTGGCAGAGATTTTTACAGTTTTTGTCTCTTTATGTCAAAGCCAGCAAAAGTTCCTCGAGTGGTTAGTTCAAGATAACGAGTCACATAAACATATTCCAAATACACAGCTCTTTAGCAACTTGAGATGTGATTTAAATGCTTTCAATGTCTCAGGCTCAAGACTAAAATTAAGAGGTGATTGTGCAGTCGCTTCTCCATATCTGTAGAATTGTTTACTTTTCATATGCGGACCTCTGTTTAAACTTTTAAATCTGTGCTTAAGACCCTTTTTCTTTTTCTTTTTTGGCGTTTGATTCAAGCAGAACTTGAGATCCAATCAGAGCCGATGATTTTATGGTGTTTCTGTAATTTATTTTAGCTTTACTTGTCTTGTGTTTTTCTTTTATTGTTGTTCAACCTTTTAGGTCTTGTGTTTTTCTTTTATTGTTGTTCAACCTTTTAGTTTAACTGAACTGTAAAGCACTTTAGTCGACTTTGTTTCTAATGTGTTATTGAAATAGACAGACATAGGAAATTGATGATCCAACTGCATAAAGGAAAGTTATATATTAAATAGTATTTTTAACACTCTATTAAAACTGGGAACATTTTAGGTAAAGGCTCAATTTTAGGTCACCAGAATATATAT